AAATTTGCTAGAATTTGATGAAAATTCATATTTTGGTGCTGAATAATCTTTGAATATATTATCTATTTCTTCATCATCATCAACTTCAGATTCATAATTTTTAGAACTTGCATCATTCAATCTTAGATTTTGTTGATTGTTGCTTAATAATATAATTCGACTTGATGAAATATTTCTCATTCTGTACCAAAATGTGAATTCTTTATTTGTCAAATGTTCGCCTTTTTTTTTTGATATCTATAAGAAAATTCTATTCGTGGGTCAACAAGTAATCCATTGCATTTACTACAGTTGCAAGTAATTTTCACTTTTTTGAGATTTTTTCTTAAACTTTTGTTAAGAAAGCTGAAATTGAATGCTTTCTTGACATTTTGAAAATTGGCAAATAGTAACATAAAGTGGCAAAAATTTGTGCTTGATATATCAAATAGCTTCAAATTGTAATATAATGCAAGTGTAATATGATGAATAATATTGTCATAGGCTATCCCGGCGAGTCCATCACTAATCCGTAGTGCTTTGTGTAACCCAGACTTCTCAAGAATACTCACAAACGGCACAAAGAAGAGAACGCCTCCTATAAAGAACATTTAAGAAAGGCAGAGACATGGTGATTGACTTGGCCAAAGGTAAGTATCTCTTTATTGCATTTTGTTTCTTTGGTATATCACAAACTCTTATCTCTATTCTTAATAAGGGCTGTTTTCCTAACATATTCAGCTCTATTCTCAAAGAGTGCTGTTTTCCTAACACATTCAGCTCTCTTCTCAAGGAGGGCTGTTTTTTTAACACATTCAGCTTTATCTTTTCGGCATACATTGGTAAGCTATTTATACTTTTCTAACTAATAATAGGCTATCTACTTTATAATCGGCTATACTAACCCTAAGCTTTGCTAAACTTTCCATACTTTTTCAGATACACATAGTTCACTTATCAGTACCCGAGCCTTATCTATAGTTTCTTACCTTGCAACACTCAACCTTTCATACCAGACTTTCGGGTTTTTAGATTCTAGACCGTTATGCATAAATTGCATCACCCACGTGACCCATAATAGTATTTTGATGAGATTGATATAGTTATTATCTTGAAAAGCCCAAAATTTAATTTTTGTTTTGTTGGGAAAGAATGTTATATTATTGCAGATAGTTATAGAGGTATCCGGGATAGTAGTAAACCAATTGGGAATAGGGCCAGGTATTATTCGTCCTCTGTGCATATGTAATTCTTCCCAAGTTAGTTTAGTATTTATTTTGTATATATATATATTCTGGATGGTTTTAATATTAGAGTAATATAGTGAAAGAGCAGTTGCTTTTGTAAGTTTGGTGTTTAAGCCAATTGAGTTCTTGTGATTAGTATGATTAAAAGGGCAGGGGAGTGGACAGATTCTGATGTTATATCTTTTGGCTAGTAGGGCTGCTGATATTATCCATGAGTCAGTAAAGTAATAAGGAAACCAGATTGAACAGCACCAGATTGCTTGGGTGGCTTGTATTGATATGATTTCTTTTAAAGTAATGGAAAAGATTTTTGGATTGGTGAGTTTGACTGTCAAAATTTTAATGGTAGTGAGATCACGATGATTTTGAAGTTTGACAATGTTGAGACTTACTGATAAGTATAAAATTTTATTGGAAATAGTACACTCGACACCTAATTTTGCTTTAATTAGTTTGTTCATTTTCCTTTGAAGAATAGCCATTTCATTATCTGATAGGACTGCAGCGTTGATGGCATATTCTAATTGTGCTGGTATAATTCAATGAGAAGCTTGTCTAGTTATTAAACTATTCCATCCTTTTTGTGACGAAATTGTATTGTTAAACTTTTGGATTTTTTCTAATAGCTTATTTTTTGTAAAACAAGATGAGAATTTGCTTGAGAGATAAACTCCAAGGTATCTGATGCCCTCCTTATATAGTCTAGGGTAGATTTTTTCCCCTTCGACTGTGAGGAATTAGTTTCTTTTTTGGTTGAATGTTTTGAGATTGGTAATTAACTCAGTTTTTTTACGATTGCATTTGATAGAGTTGAGAGATAAGAAAGAACAATAGATGTTTGTTACTTCTTGGAGGACTTGTATATTAGAGCTTGCTAAGGTGACATCATCCATGTAAGCAAAGATTTTGGAGATTGACGAGTATTCAGTTGATATTTTAGTTACTATAGGGTCATAAAAGATGGTTCATAGTAATGGAGCTAGGGGTTCTCCTTGATTGATCCCTTTGCTTACTTTTAGGGTTTAATAAGTTCATAATGGATTATTATTTTTAGTTCTCTTTCATTTAAGAGATCGGTAATGACCAAGGTGAATTTGTTTGACAGTTTGATGCAATTCATTGCTTTCTTGAGGCTGGTGATATTAACAGAATCAAAAGCTTTGGAGATATCGAATGATGCTACCCATATTTCCTTGTTGAGATTATTAGTGATATTGATGCATGAGCTAATAATTACGATTGGCTCAGTGGTACTTTGGTTTTTGAGGCTGGTGAAGTTGGATTCTGAGAGAGCTTTATACCTTAGAACACAATTAACAAGCCTGTCGTTAGTAATTTTTGTGAAAATTTTCTTGCTTGTTTCAATAAGCGAGATCGGGCATGTATCAGAGAGATCATGTGACCAGACAAGTTTTTTGGACAATACTGTAACAGCTGATTGTTTCCAGAATTTAGGAATTTGATCTGATATTAGAATGTCATTGAATAGAGCTAAGATGATTGTTTTTGCATATGGACCTATTTGGATCCAAGCTTCATAAGGAATAAGGGTGAACCCGAGGGCTTTACGTTTGGGAAGATCAGTAAGGGCTTCTTTCAGATCTTGCATAGATAATGTTGAGACAAGATTATCATAGGCATTATCAGGTATATATTTCAATAGTTCATAATCTGCTAACCATTCATTATTAATAACAAATGGTTTAGGATCTAGAATTTTTTGAAGTAATCGAATATGATAGTTGCAAGCCTGTCAGGATCATCGTGGAGTTGGTTGTCTTCTCCTAGGAGGATTGAAAGGTCGAGAGAGGGTCTCAGATCTTCTAATACTTTTTTAAGAGCGTTTTTAGGCCTAGTCCAAAATCTATGATAATTCAATTCTATGTCCTTTTGTACTTTTTGGATAATAATATCATTTAATTTAAATAATTTTTCCTTGATTAAAGTTTTCAACAGTTTTTGCAAGTCTTTGATGCAAGAAAGATTACTGTTAATTTTTCGTAAAGCAGATGAGACAATAGCTAGAAGTCTTAAGAAGACATCTTTCCTATTATTGTTTTTTGATACATTAATTGCTTTCTTGGTGACTCTTATGGCACTGGAGTAATACTTGAGAAGGTCTATGTTATGAGTGAGTATCATGCACTTTCACTTTGGAATATTATTGTCAAGAGAGTTTTTGATAGCGTTATTCATAAAGTCCCAGGTTGAAGTGTTGCTTGTTAGGCATGCGAGTTCAATATCCTCTTTGAATCCTTTTATGTTTTTTGGAGTAGTATCCTTGAATTGATAGATATTGTTGTTAAAGTAGATTTTGTTAGGTTTATATTCAAACCAATCCAATATAATGGTCACTTGTTTATGATCGGAGATTATGGCTGTTTGTTTCTGAACTTTATATGAAAGTATTTTGCTTGCCAGATTACTGGTGATCTATACTTGATCAATTCTAGAAGCACTATTGTTTGTGATGTGTGTGTACTTATGCTCATTGTTTATTATTTTACCAATGTTAATGAATTTTTGGAGATATCAATATATATATCTCTTATGAGCTGTTGTGTGAGCATGTATGTGGGGGACAGAGGAAGGGTACATACTAAAGTCTCCTGCAAGAATGATGTGTTTATCAGAGTGCTTTCCGATAAAGTCCTTTAGACTTTTAACTGCTATTTTCCTGAGGTTGTGTTCATGGGAAAGATGGCATGAGATAATTATAATATCCACTCTGGATTTAAATTTGAGGTGGATTGCACACCAAAACTTATTAAGGGCAAAGGTTTTAAAGACATGATTAATAATAGCTTTAGTCAGAAAAATGGCTGCTCCATTGCTGGCAGAATCCTTGGGTAAGCTGGTAATGATTGTAATGTTATTTAGAGATGTAGGAAGTGGTTTTGATTTTGTGATTTTTGTCTCTGAGCAGCAAAGGATGTATCTATTGCTTGTAATAGACTTGGTAAGTTCTGATACTTTTGCACTGCCATTGAGACCTCTAACATTGAGGGTAAATAATGTAATGAGATTTTTAAGGGGCCTTGTAATAGAGTTTGTTTAAGAATAGATTGATGTAATAGGTATAGAAAACAAAGGAGTAATAGTTGATGTACTAGTTAACAATGAATAACTTGGGTTAATCATTGTATGCATTATTTATATAAGTTTTGGTAAGAGAGTCAGAGCTGAGTCAGGTGACTCAGGTTCAATTAGAAATTCTGGCAGTAGTTTCTTGAAGTGAAATATTTTCCTAAGGGCATTAAGTTTGTTTGTGAGTAATCCATCTTCAATTATTGGAAGGGTTATTGTACTGCTTTCAGATCTGAGAATGGTTTGAGCTTCCTTGAGATTAAAAAGGTCTGATAGAATTGGTGTTATCCATTCTTTTGGGATACAACCAAAGTATTTCTCTTTAATTGTTTTGACAGTTACAGTGAATTCAGTGTGTTCTCTATTCAACTTGTCACTAATTATTCTGAGCTCTTCTTCTACTTGAGAAAAGTTACTTGAGATGTAAGGCTTTTCACTCTGGATTAAACCTTCCTTGATCCGCTCAGGTCCAATGGAAAGTTTGAAAAAGAATTCAGTTTTTAATTGCCTAATAAAACCTTTGACCTTATCTTGATTGTTAATAGGGAGGATAATTCTGTAATTCTCACTGTACCAGTATACTGGTGGGAGAGGTCTTTTGGTTATGATGTAGTTTGCCAGTAGTTTTTTTAAAGCATAAGATTCATTCCTCAAAATTTGCACAGCTTCTTTGATGTCAGCAACATTGTTGCTTACTGGGAAATAACTAATCAGGTTTTTTGGAAGGTCTTTATATGATGGAGAGAGGGGTTCCTTTAGAGGCAGAAGGCAGAAGTATAATTCGGGAAGCTTATTTGGCATGTAATAATGCTCTCTTAGTTTGTTGACTAGTATTCGGAGGTCTCAAAGATCTGCTCTCTTTGTCAGAGAGAAAATGCCTTATACTTCAACTCTCAAATAAGATGGGTTCCCTGGAAGATTGGGCCTTTAACAAAATATGAAGGGGAAAGCAGGTCAAAATTGTAGTACACTCTAAGGCACTATGTAATTTTTCATATATGTTTGGGTAAAGTGATGGGGATAGCTTTAGGAAGCTTGATTTTAATAAAGGTGGGGATTAAATCAGATAAGGCTGGGAGGTCAGGTAGTTTTATCTTGATAAGTTCTTCACATTTATTATAAAGGTCCTGATAATTTATTTTTGGGAGGGAAGGATCAAAAAAGAAATTAAAGCCATATTTGAGTAGTTGAGTAGCTTGCCAGTAACTTAATTTTGTGAGGTCAAAGGACCTGAGGTAGGCTGCAAAAAGAGCTTTGTTGATAATAACTCTGATTTTTTTCCTGATCATTTTGGTAATATAATCGATATTATTAGCATTAAGATAATTGACTTTGAATTCACCCTCAATTTTTTCGTATTCTACTTGGTGCTGTCCTTTAATTAACTCTTCTTTGGCAAATATTCTGAAAAAATCTCAGTCTCTGTAACCTATTTTTGAAAAGATGGCCTTTAGAAAAGATCTCAGGTAACCTCTAGATTTGTCTCTGAATTTCAAGAAAAGATTGACAATGGCTTCTGGGGATCGATTATATAAGATAATTTCATTGTAAAAATCAAGGATCTTTTGCTGTTTATCTTCTGGTGGTGTTAAATGAATATCATTAGATGGATAATTAGCAGATATTGTGACTGGTGTGGTTTCAGTATCAGCCACCCATAATTGAGTGTCTATTAAGTCTTCTTTTTGAGATTGGATGAATGGTGGATAGTCATCAATTTCTATTTTAAAGTCTGTTTGGGTCCCATGCGATGATAGAATATAGCTTACATTAGTTGTTTCATAGTCACACGGGTTTGTGTTATCTAATAGTGATATGGGGTCAAGAGTGGAGTTAGCAATTGTCGCTGGAGAAGAATCAAGTTGCATTGTATTGTTATTGATCATCATATTATAATCGATTCTTTCCTCACTAGGTGCAGGAATGTTTGGAGGGGGTAAGGGAGTTTTGGTTTTTCTGTTTAGGATGAAAGTTTTTTGTTTTTCATTAGTAAGGATTTCAAGCTTGTCCCAAGGAATGTGAAGGCTATAGTTTAATTTTTGTTTCATTATTTCTTTCATGATATCCATTCTGTCATTATCAATTAAGTTTAATATATATTGAAATTCTAAAAAGGTGTTTAGGTCAGTGATCATCATTTTCTCAGAGATAGAGAGAGTTAAAATGGTAAGCTGGGCAGAAAGTCTTGTTCTTTGGTGGTTTTCAAAAGTAACGATAATTACTTGGATATCTTCTTCCACATTTTTAGGGGAGCAGACTGGAGTTAGTCAGACTTTTGGACAATTGCCAAATCTAGGAAGATAAGTGGATTGCATGGATAGGGTGGTGAAAATTTTATTGGTTTTTGTATTTTTGTAAATAATAATAACTTGAGAAGGATCTATGTTTGTAACCAAAACATCCAAAATTATATGTTCAGTATTGAAAACATGACCTTTGGAGATAGAGACTCCTCCAAGGTCCTTTGTTTTTCCTTTGAGCAAAGAAATTTTTTCTTTATTTTTTTGAGTTTCCTTATATGGTAGTTTTATTCAGATATAGATAGAATTTTTTTTAAATAGTTAATATCTATGTTATAAATTATATAAATATATATATGAAATAATTATAGTAATTACATATTCTAATATTATTAAACCAAAATTGGTATTATAATAATCAAACAATTAGCATCTATTTATAAATTATGTATCATTTAATAAGTTTTTTTTTTTTAACCCGCAGTCAAGTCAGCATGGCATGTCTTTATTGTATATATACTAAGTATTTACAAATTGTTGTGACTTTCACATACTAACTCACTCATTGCCAAAACTATTTCTCTAAATGCAACCTAGGGAATGATATTTTACTTCTTTACTAATTTGGATAATTCTTCTAATTAATAAAATTATTGCCTACAGGTCATTACTGTAGATCATTCTAAGTTCTGTCTATAGTTAAAAACCAAACCACATCATTTCATGACAAACCCAATCCTTAATATCGCCATATACTTCTTTTCTTCTATTTCTTTGATATTCTCCAGGTTCGAGTCCTTTAGAGATAATAGCAATTCTTTTGATCCTGTTTAATTTGATCGTCAGGTCTAGGCTTGGGTCTCTTGTTTCTTTTGTCTTCTTTTGTAATATTATGCTTCTTTTCTCATTCTATTACTTTGGCACAGCAAGTATTCCAGATCTCCTTTTTAAAGTTTGTTCTTATATTCTGACAGAGTTTATTGATTATACCCTGTGTGTTCACTAGTGGAATCTTGAGCTACTCTTTGAGATACTTACTTCTTTAAGGAGGTAGTTTTGCTTTCTTCTATGTATCCACAGATGATATTCAAAAGGCCCCTGTCAGATTTCTGGATCTCTTCTAACCAATTGTCTATCCAATTACTTATTTCAGATTGAACTTCATTCTTCTCTTTTATTTCTTTACTAATGCGTTTATTGATCTTTTCGTTTGTTTTCCACCATAAGTTCTTCTGAGCTTCCCTAGTAGCTGGGCATTCAAAAAGATGTTCTAGTGTCTCTTCATGAAGTTCACATGCTGAGCAAGTGGTTGTGATATACACATCTGATTTCCTCTTCTTAAGTATCTATAAGACTGGAAGTTTATTGTGAATTAAGTTAGTTAGGAAGCTTTTATATTTGTTGGTTTTGAAAGAGATATCAAAGGTATTGGTCAGATTGAACTGGTTCCAAAAGGTTGGCCAGTCTATAATTTTTTCATTTTGAATCCAAAGATCCTG